TATAAAAAAAAAAAAAATGTAAACTGTGATGTACAAATATAAATATAATTTTCATTAAAAAAAACGTGTTTATCATATCAAATCACTATATATCTATATTGTTTGCGTTTCTTGCAATTACTATGGGGAAACGGACAAAAGCCCCCCCCCCCCGGACAAAAGCCCTCCCGTCCAAAAATAACAAGGCGGACAAAAGCCCTCCCGTGAAAATGACAAGGCGGAAAAAGCCCTCCCGTGAAATTGACAGGGCGGACAAAAGCCCTCCCGTGAAATGACACTATGTCCAGGCCCGTCGTCACGATTTTGTGATTGGTGCGGCCAATTTGATTGGTTTTAGGTAGAATCTAGGGGGTACGGGGGCATGCTCCCCCGAAATTTTTTTTATTCTAGCATGCTGTCAGGGGCGTTTTCCCGTATATTTGGCACAGTTTACAGCCTGCCGCTAGTACATGTTATAGTAATATGTCAACGATTTTTTACAGATTTAAGTGCGTCGTAAGTTTAAAGGGTGAAATTTAGGATTCGCATGACGGACGGACAGGTGTACATAAAAGATGAATACATGTAATTGATATTTGGCAAATGAAAAATAAACAATAACTGATGTTATTATAATTCTTTAAATGCATTTTTATCTGATGATTAATATTAAATAAACAAATAAAAGAAATATTACAGTACGTGGATTATTGTTTAGCATAAATCACACATTGGTATAAGCTTAAATAACAATCGATGACATGATGGAAGAATAGTTCATTACGAGTCAACAATAACCACTTTTTGTTTAGCAGTAACTTGTATTTTGTTAACAATAATCTTACACAACACAGGGTCTCATTTTATGTAAATTTTCCAAAAACACATCGCCGTCGTTCTCTGGTAGTGATGAACTCATCGGCAATTACACGTAAGTTGAGTGGATCTGTCCAGTTAACACCATTAGATTCTTCAAACGTACTTGAGACATTGTTGATCTCAGGTATGTCTTGATTCTTCTGAATGCCGAGAATGTCCTTTCACTGGTAGCATTAATAACAGGCATTACTAACAAAATCTTTAACAACACAACGACCTCAGAGAACAGTGCTCTTTCTAGCACCGACTGTTCTGACGCAAATTTCAAAAAGCCGGGTAGAGTAACAGTACTATTTTCTGATTTGTCAAAATGTGAAGCTGCACATCTAAGATGTCTCGGTTAATATCGTTACCACAGAAATCACAAACAAAACCAAGTTCTCTAGTGGACTCGGTCTTCAAAGGTTGTGCGGCCTTTTTAAGTAAATTCTCCACGTTTTGAAGAACGCGATATCCCGGTTGGTCAAATCTCTCTTTAACACTGGCGATGGCAAGATCGATTGCTTCAAAGTACTTAGGCCGGAACACGTCCTGCACTGTAACGGGGTTGTAGCCAACACCGTGCCCCATCTCGAATCGTGTGGGCGCCTTTCTCTTCCGCGGAAAATTTCAATCGTTAACACCGACTTTGAAGTTTAATCTATTAAGTATCAGAACTGTCGTCTGATCTCATGTCTATCAAACTACATAGAGTTCGCTTTGCTAGCCGCTGGCCCTCGGATGCTGACAATGAAACTTGTTGAGGAGATTTGCTGAGGTTGTCTGTCAATGCTAGGATGTCGTGTGCAAACATTACACCGAAAAAGTACTCGAACTTGACTTCGTAGGACCCCTACATATACCTGGTCAATTGATTGTGTCCATGCAGTTGTTTCTTCGTGTCATGTTTGTATATTACCGCCCATTGCATAAGGGGCCAGTTAATATTTTTTTGTTTTTGTGTTTGTTTTTTTTACTCATTTTTGGCCAAAATATTGGTCCGGCCAAGGCCGGACCGGCCGGACCATCGACGAAGGCATTGTCCTCTATATTTTCTGCATTTTACTTTATGTTCTATACTGTTAATAAAGGAAAAACACGTCTGCAAAATTCATTTTCACTATATATCTACATTGTCTGCTCTTCTTGTAAGTACTATATACTCTATATCGTCTCCATTTTACTATATGTTCTATACTGTTAATAAAAGAAATACATGTCTGCAAAATTCATTTTCACTATATTCTGTTTGAATTTTATTGATTTTCATTTTAAATAATTTATTTTTTTGAATAATTTGCAATTGATATTAAAGGAATTGATAATTTTCAAAAACATCAATTTTTTTCACCTTAAAGGGATACTCAGGCAAAATAATGGCAAAAATATAAAAATGATTTTCTGTACTCAAATCACCCTAAAATGACATTTCTTAAAGTCCCAACATGAATTTCTGTATAAATTCTATATATTTTGGGTTTGAAGTTTAAATATATCTATATATGTTGAACGAAATTTTGACGCGAACAGAATCACCGAATAGTTTAAAAACAAGTCATGCGATTTGAGCAAACCCTGGAAGTTACAATAACAAATATTGTGGATATTGTATGATTGAAACAAGTCTAAGTAATTGATTTGACATGTTTTTTAACGTTTCCAGAGTACAGAGTGACAACTATTGTGAAATTTTAGCGCTCTAACCTGACCCACGCGGGTCAAGTTAGGAAAACACCATTTTATTCTTTATATGGAGAAAAGTTTTTTTCCTTTGACTGTTTAGTGTATTCATTTTGAGGACATTTACAGAATAATGAATGAAAATTTCAAAACTAAGAAATGAAAATTTTGCCTGTGTCTCCCTTTAAACGGTTAAATAATGATAGAAAAATAGAAATATCACGTAACTGTGTTAAGTATTTCATTTGGTGCTAAAACGATAACGTACCGGAAAACGGTTTCGAAAAGGTCAATATCTATATTGTCTGCGTTTTACTATATATCCTATATTGGCTGCATAAGCGTCGTGCCAACAAAACGGACCATTTTCTCATTTTGATAATTCTTAATTTTACACTAAAGCGCCTGTCATATAGTAGGCCCACAGTTTTATTACCTTAGAAAGAATAAAACGGTTCCCTACTTAACTATTAAGTACTTTCCAATGAACCTAATTCTAATTTTCAGAAAATGAATTGTTGAATAGTTGACCTACATTTTGGTTATCAATTAATCGATATATCATAGACTTACGGTGTTTGCAGTTGAATATGTTTATTTGTACATATGCGAATATACGTTTTCCTACGTGCACACTTACTTTTGAAATACTTTACAACAAAATATAAATATATACGTATATAGTCTTACCTTACTTTCTTACTTTTCCAGTTCAAACAGCGGAAGTTCTAAATATAGAACCCAGGGGAAACAACTTAATTTACATGCTTTTTCAAGTGGTACATCTTTTATCTTCCTTGCTACAAAAAAAATATGTATACATATATTATAGATCTATATCATTTATATATATTAAATAGTAGAACCAAATGTTTTAATAAAGTTTTACATACATTGAGATAAATCATATTCTTATATATAACTCCATAAATATTAGATTTGGCAATACTCATAATCGATTCTGCTGTCAAATAAAAAATAAAATTCCACTTCATCTCTGTTAGATATAAATTATTTGTCTTTTTGTAACAGTTTCAAAATTAAGTATACCTACTTGTAAATGTATAATTGCTCTTTATAGGTTTACTATGTTGGAAAAGTAGAAAAGTTAAAAACCTTTCTGCGAACATATGATAAGTTTAAAAATACGCCAAAATTCAACTGATTTATTTGTGCGTTGATAACTGTTATTAATTAAGGACTTAATTTGTAAACCCTATGCATCTATATTTACAATAAACCTTTCAAACGTAAATACGGTTATTGAAACAAGTATGTTATTTTAATGGCTATTAAATGCAATTATTATAGAAATACTCAGTTTATTGTAATTTATTTATACGTTCAACTCAAATTACACAAAAGAGAATCTATGTAATAGCGATCAACAATTAATGTAATCAATAAAATGTAAAATTATGTTTTCAAATAACGTCTTATCATAGCGTTTGCCGTGTCAACATGTACAATGTTTTGTTGTTGTTTTTCGTTAGTCTGTCTGTTCTAAATAAGGCCAGACCACAGGTGTTGTATGAATTGCAGCAAATAAGTTATTACGACTTTGTACAACATTTGAATGAGAAATTTAAACCTTAATGAGCATAGTAAAACATCTCAATAAATATTCAAGAACCTGTGCGTCGCATATTTTCTTGAATTTAATGTTGAACAATTTACAAAAACCCACCATTGCTGAATTCTTTCCAAAAAGATATTATTCACGAACAAGAAGAAAAGTTAGATATCTATTGACTTTGTGAATACTGATTTATAAGATATTAAGTTTGATGGAGATCTTGAAATTTAGCATTATGTTTGATTAAATACTAATGGTTTACTTAAAATACGCCCAGAGGTTTTTTCCGTTTGTCCCTTCAATAGAAATGTGTGTCCGTTCTGATATGTAGCACTACTTGCACACTCCCTGATAATAATAAAATTATATTTTTAAGTCTCAAATGTCGGCAGTTTATCCTGATTTATGTCTTTTAAACTTGTTAGTGCATACTCATGATTCATAAATTGTGTTATGACTACATGTAGAACACGCATTTGCATCATGGTTTAATTATAACAGTTCATTAACACTAATTTAAGACAGCAATAGCGTGTCTATTCTATATCCAATACATTAAAAATCATTGCGATTATCTATTATTTTGTGGCCAATTGTGGCAAATAAGACAAAGAAAATACATGTTAGGAATATTGAATTTGTAACAATTTCAGAAAATACGATTCAAACACATCTCGTTTAGATCTAATAATATTATTTGGAAGGCGTCTGTTACTGTATTGTGAGCTAGACATATAAGTTACGTAAGCATTTTTCATTTATAACAATTCACTGATTGTGTGGTGATTTTTATGTACAGTGAAATGAAAAATTATTCTCGAAATTAGAATTTCTGGTAACCGATATTTTAACACTTTTAAAAAAGGATCATTTCGGTATGATCTAACTACATGTAATTTGCTTGACATCTGACAAACCCCGCACGAGTTTTTCGCGCTCTTTTTTGATTTTCTAACAATTACAATACTAATATATCGCGGTAAAAGATAAACAAAAAACATAAAAAGCAGACTTTTTAATTTGAATTTTTGTTTTTGTAAATTACAAGTTAAATTTTCTATTGGATCGTTTTCTATCTTGGTAAGGTATATAATTGTTTCATATTCAAACAAACTAGACATTTATGATTTATATCGAAAGATAGCATTAGATATAATGGCATAAATGACATCAATTTGTTTTGTTACCTTGCAAAATAATTCGGCTAAGATATCAAGATATTGCTTTTGTTTGAAATTAAGAATTGTAGCAAAATCTATATCTTTGACAATATATTGTTATAGAAGAATACAAATGCAAAAAAAAATCACGATAATAGAAGTGTAAATCAAAATATTCAAACTGTATGATGTCTGACATTAAAATAAAATGATGAAGTACATGCAGTGTTCTAAAGATAATGACAAAGATGTTATACATGTATATTCATAAAACAATATATATAATTCATCTCAATGAATGCAGAATATATACGTATAATATACAATATAACATGTTATGCAGTTAAAACAATTCAAAACTAAATATTTTGATTTTATCCGCACAGAAGCCGTGTGCAGAAGAGCAACTAATATACAATTTTTGATCTCTTTTACAGTATATAACAGCCTGTAGAAAATGAAGGTTTGCTTTCTCCAATCCTACAATTGGACATTCTTTAAAGCTCCTCGACAATCTTACAATTGTGTGAATGTTCCTGTAGCATACCAACAACGTACCACCTATTAACTCTTGTATTCCTGTAGGACTTACATATCCTTGATCCTCGAATCTTTGTACAATGTTTCCTTGCCAGTCTATCTTTAGGAACTTACTCCTCTTTGACACATTGTTATAATCAGATACATATATGAACTTCTCATCAATGCTGATAACAATCTTTTTAGGTCCTCCAAACAATCCAGGAGTGTCAAACACCTCTACGATATTTCCGTCAAAATCCAAAACAATCAGCTTTCCTGGATTAAAATTACAGCCTACTACTAACATGTCTTGCCAATATGCTACACAATAACACTTATTTCCAACATCTATACGACGATCTAAAGACATACTTGTGTAAGTGTAAGACATTATCTGGATATGTTGTTCATCAGGTAGAGCAACAGCAACTTGATTTTGTGGAAGTTTTATCACATCACGTGGTTCTGAGGATACAGATATTTGTGATACAAGCCTTCCGTGGCATATATCAATTATTTTTATTTTGTTATTGTTGTAGCCAGCTACAATCATTTGTTTGTTGGAAATTAATATCATTCCTAAGATATGGCATTGTTCCTTATCAAAAGAGGGCTTCATTTGAAGTGTTCTTTCATACTGGGCATATATTGTACTATCGGGTGAGAGTCTTCTGTGTGTAGAAATCGTCCCTATATATTTATCATTTTTCACTTGATGTACTATGTCTTTGCTTGGGACAAATGTAATATCACCCTTATATTCCACTAATTGCTTTTCATTATCTAATTGTCTTGCAACTTGAGGTACGATTTCTGTCATCTCATTAAACAACTTATAATGCTGTTTGTCCTCGTTACTATGTTCTTTTAGTCTGTACAATGTACTTGGCATTTCCTCTTCGATTTGTAAACTTTCTGCGTTTACATTTTCTTGTGTAGATTTTGCTGCATGCTTGCGAGCTTTATATTTTATCCTTTATATTTTCGGCTTCCATCTGATCTAAAAATTCGTTTATTTCCTTTCTAATCATCTGTAAATCTTCAGCAATTTTCATGAACATTTTTTCTTTGTTTGTTGTGGCACTTTTAGTAACTTTTACCTTACATTTAAACTTCCTGACAAGTGTCTCCATTCGGTCTATTAAATTATCCAGCCCATCAGACAGGTTTCCTGGAATATCGGGAATATACTTAACATTGCAATGTTTTCGATCTTTGATTAAACAAGCAGAACATGCCATAGAACGATGTTTACTACAAAAGAACTCCTGTTGTTTGTTACTACGTTTAATGCAGAAATTAATTGTTTGATCACTTTTTTCGTCCCCTGTCTTCGGTTGCTTTTGCATTATTTCCGTATTATGCTGAACACGGTTTTTTGATGATATTTGCTGTCGGTGATGATAGGAACATCTCTTACACAGATGTACCTCACACTCCTGGCAATAGACGTAAGCTAGCTCTTGTAATCCATCTATGCTGCATGGAAGGCAGTAAAGATTAAAATGTTTCTTTGAGGGAGCTGCTAATTTCCCTGATACTTCCATGATTTATCTGATAAAATAGAAGGAAAGGAAACTTAAAGGTGAGAAAAACGCTTATACGAAATAATAACTATTTTCAAAAAGAGATTTATCTTACCCTATTACCATTATTTGGTAAATATTTCAGTAGTGAAAGCTGTAAAGATTTTGTCATCATTATCACATTACCGAATCTTATCGCAACATTCACGTTGGAAAATAGTATCCACCCATTTGTATATGTTTTCATTGCAGTTTTGCTATTCAAAAATTCAAAAATGATTTTAAATTGATTTTTCACACATTTTATCTTTTGCTTCAGTTAGCTGTATCGGGCCTTTGGATTTATTGACCATTTTATCAATGATTTCAGGATTAGATATAAACAACTATATTTAATTCTACATTATGCTTTTTCATTGAGTCATCTCCCTTTCTACATAATGAAGATTTGTCAACTTAAAATTTTACACTGTATATAATGAATGTGTACTCGTCGTAATGAACATTTATAAAAGTTGTTTAAATATCAATTTGAATAATTGTCATTGATACGAATACAAACAATATAAATAAATGCAAAATGTAAAATAAAGATTTTTATAAATGTCTTCGGAGGATACTTAAAATATAAATACGCATACTTAGTGTGTTTTCGTTTAACCGTATAGCAATTAATGTTATACAACAGTCAGCTTTTGTAAATTCGATTAAAACAAAATATGACATTTTAAACTTGCAAACTCTTCACTTAAACACGTTTGTACTATATAACCCGAGACATAAAGTATTACTATAATTATTAGTCTTTACCCTTCTCATATCTTGAGCTGAAATAACTTTTATTATGAGTTTAATTCAAATTTCATAATCTATATATTTTCTTGCAAAACATGCGCATATTCTTTCTCTACATGTATTGTTCTGTATTGTTTTATTGTATTTCATTATAGTCTCATTATTATACATAATCACTCGAACACGAACTTTCAATATATTTCACCACAAATGCTAAATGGTCTTACCTGTCTCGCTCTTTATCAGTTGAAACAAGAACTTTGGAACGCGGAAGTTCAAAACCAAATGTTATTCAAGTTATGCATCACTTATCTTCATAACAACAAAATTTAATTTATTTAATTATGTTCATTTAAATAATCCTAATGCTAGAGATAAAGTTTTTAATATTATGTCAGAATTCAATCTTTTAGATTGCTGGAGAGAAAATCATTTAGAAAAAAGAGAGTACACATGGTTTAGAAGAAATCCAGTTAAAAAGGCACGCTTAGATTTTTTTCTCATTTCTGATAATTTGTATACAGATCTTGAATGTTCACTAATTTTATCGGGTTACCGAACGGATCATTCTTTAATTTATATATCACTCGATTTAGACAAATTTAAAAAAGGAATATCATACTGGAAGTTTAACAATTCTTTATTAAAAGAAGTAGCATATGTAAATGAAGTTAAAAAAGTCATTAAAGAAACAAAAATTCAATATTCCTCCAACATTAATGAAAATATAAATGATGTTCCGCTTCATGAACTTCAGTTCAACATTAATGACCAGTTATTTTTTGAAACTCTTCTTTTATCTATTAGAGGAATCACCATTCGTTATGCGTCTCATAGAAAAAAATAAACATCAATAATGAAGATAAACTTTTAAAAGAAATAAAGGATATTGAGTCCCAGCCTAACACTAATTATGAACTTTTAGAAAACAAAAGAAAAGAACTTTTAGAATTACGGAAGAAAAAAATGGATGGTGTATTTATCAGATCAAGAGCTAAATGGATACAAGAAGGAGAGAAACCTACAAGATACTTTTGCAATTTGGAAAACAGAAATTATGTCTCAAAATTTATGAACTCTTTAATAACAAAAACAGGAAAACATTTACAAAAACAGGAAGAAATACTTGCAGAAACAAAGAGGCATTATGAAAATTTATATAAATTCAAAAATACAGAAACAGTGTGTTTAAGTCAAATTTTGTATAATACTGTCGACATACCAAAATTACTAGATAATGAGAAACAATCTATTGAAGGTGCCCTTACTTACAATGAAATGTTAAATAGTCTGTAACGCATGTCAAATAATACAAGTCCATGCAATGATGGTTTTACTGTAGAATTTTTTTTATTTTTCTGGAATGATTTAGGTATGTTTTTAGTAAGATCAATAAATCATGCATATAACATAGGTGAACTGTCAGTAAGTCAAAAACAAGGTGTTATAACCTGCATTCCAAAAGAAAACAAAGATAAATTCTACTTGAAAAATTGGAGACCAATTTCACTACAAAATGTATCTTATAAAATTGCATCTTCTTCAATAGCTTTTCGCATAAAAAATATTTTAGGAAAGATCATTAACGATGACCAAACAGGCTTTTTACCCGGAAGACTCATGGCGACAAACATAAGATTAGTTTATGATCTCTTGTTCTACTCAGAAAAGAATAATATACCTGGATTGTTACTATTAATAGATTTTGCAGCTGCTTTTGATACTGTTTCCTGGAAATTTATGCATCAAGTTTTAGAGTTTTTTAATTTTGGACCCTCTGTTAGATCATGGATCAAACTTTTTTATACAAATATAGTCGTGTGTTATTGTTAATGGTTACATGTCAGATTGGTTCTCGCCGTCAAGGTGATGCTCTGTCTCCCTACCTGTTCATTCTTTGCGCAGAAATCCTGTCAATATTGATAAGAGATAATAATAATATAAAAGGAATTAGTGTTAATGGTACAGAGTACAAACTCTCTCAATATGCTGATGATACTAGTTTATTCTTAGATGGCACGTCAGAATCATTAAAAAACACAATGTTAACTTTAAAATTTTATGCAAACATTTCAGGCCTTAATATAAATATGGAGAAAACAAAAGTAATTTGGTTTGGGTCAAAAAAATACAGTCGCACAATACTTTGTCCAGAATACAATTTATCATGGGGAGATAACATTTCACACTGCTTGGAATTAAATTTTCAGTAGATTTATCTAATATAGTTGATATTAATTATGACTCAAAAATTGAGGAAATTAAAAAGTTATTTGCTTGCTGGTCAAAAAGAGTGTTAACGCCACTCGGCAAATTGGTGGTTATTAAAACCCTTGCTTTGTCAAAATTAAATCATTTGATTTTGAGTATTCCTAACCCACCACTAGCAAAAATAAATATTATCCAGCAAATGTTTTTCAATTTTCTATGGAGTGATTCAAGAGATAAGGTTAAAAGAAATATTATATCACAGGAATACAAGTTTGGAGGGCTTAAGATGGTTGATCTCAAGTGTTTTATGTATAGTTTAAAAGCAACATGGCTAAGAAGACTGTTGACAGTTAATTGTATTTGTTTACATATTGTTAAAAGTGCATGCCCTTTTTTAAATAACATATATAAGTATGGTACAGATTATGCAAGAATACAATTTCATCAATATTTAAATCCTTTTTGGAAAGATGTGCTTTACAGTTTTTATTTAATTTCTTCAAATGTAGAGGTGAATTCTTGTCAGCAAAGTTACTCAGTCAATTTATGGCATAACCCCGGCATTAAAGTAGCAGGATCTAGTGTTTGTTATAACAGATGGGTATCTAGGGGAGTAATATTTTTAGGGGACCTTATCAATCAAGAAGGAGAATTTTACACCTGGCAAAATTTTATTAGTATATTCAATATAAGAACAAATTATCTGGAATATCAAGGTTTTTTTTAGCTGCAGTAAATGAATTTCTTTTGAATAATAATATAAGACACTTACCTAAGAAATCATTCAATATTCACATTCCTTTAGGTTTGGCTATTATAAATAAAGATAAAAAAAGGATGCAGATCTATATATAGAACGATAAAAAAGAAGGAAGAATATCCAAATTCAATGCTAAAATGGAAAAATGAATTAATAAGTTTGGGTGATATGAATACCTTGAATTTCAATTTAATATATAGAAATGTTTTTAGAGTAACAAAAGACGCAAAATTGATCTGGTTTCAATACAGAATCAACTATAGAATTTTAGCCACAAACTATCTTCTCAAAAAAAATGAATATTATTAGAGAAAATGACTGTACATTCTGCCAACATGAGCCAGAAACTTTAATACATTTGTTTTGTAATTGTGAAATTATTAAACAGTTTTGGCAACAATTACAATCATATATCAAAGAAAAATGTAATATAAATTTCACTAATTGGAGTAATTTTGATATCTTATTTGGGAATGTTAATATAAACATCATCCTAAATAAGATTATTTTGCTAGCAAAACAGTACATATACTATAACAGATTGAAGAAAATAAGGCCTTCTTTGGAAATTTTCAAGAAACAAATAGTTTCTAGTTATACTACTGAAAAATACAGTGCCAAACAGCTGTTTCAATATGAAAAATTTGAACGCTCATGGGAAATGTTTAAAAATTTAGTAAGTTAGTGAGACTATGTAATTATTGATATTTTTAAGTAGTAGACAGCCCCCTTGTTTAATTATTAATATTATTAAGACACTCTACTTTCCTGACATACCTTCCATCAGTGACCTTTACTAATATTTAGAGAATATTAATTACTTGGAAGTTAATCCTCCAAGTTTACACGAACAACCTTTTCTTTTTTACTTTTTAGAGAAGACTTATATAGGTAAATGAAAACATTTTCCTCTGAATTAGATGAATTCTAACCTAAAACTTGTTTTTGCCTTTTCCTTTATTAAATTCAATAACTTACATGAATATGCAACATTGCTGTTTAGTAATATCTTTAGTATTTTGTTTTAAAATGAGGTTATTTTTACTTTGTCTTTTTTGTATATATAATTCAAATATAAAGGAAAATGTAAATTCAGCAATAGACTACTTTAAAAATTCACAAAAACCCCATTTTAGCTATTAATAATTATTTTAGCATATCAATAGTGTATCTATTTAGTTAAAGTGACATTATGCCCATCCAAAGCAAATAGTGAATAAACAGTGAAAGTTTAAATACATTTTTGCCATGATTCGTCTCAGTTTTTCAATATATTCCGTAACTCTTATGGCTCAAGGAACATTTTGGAAATATCTGTAGAGGGAAAAATTATACTTAATAAAAGTATGGGGCAGTCTTTATGTTTTAGGCAGATATATATTTTATCCAAAACTTTTTCTTATATCAACTGTTGCCTAAATATACCCATTTTTATTACATGATTTTCGGTGGTTTATAGAAATATATCAGTGATATAAAACTGGTAATTTCACTGTTTGAAACAGTGAAATTACCACTTTGATAATTTCACTGTTTTGAATTTAAGCCCCTTACGTTGTTTCAGTGAAATACCAGCGTGCACAGTACTGGGTACCAACTTAATGACGTGACGTCGTAAATAACGTCACGCAATCTCCTACGCAGTGATCTCCCCTTATCAGTACAGAGATTGTACAGATTACAATTCTGCCAAGGGAGGTAATCAGTGTGAGGAGTTTGAACGTCACGTTGTATTATTATTTGGCGCGCTTTTCATTCAGTATTAGGTTAAATGTCTTTTTAAAACGTTTCTTTGCATATAATAAAAAGAAAATTTGTTTAATTAAGTGTAAGATTGAAATATATTTCACCTTGTGAACACCAAAAGTTCATATTTCACTCGTGGCTGCGCCACTCGTGAAATATACCTTTTGGTGCTCACTCGGTGAAATATATAGAGGATATTCAAGTTTTTTCTATAAATACATGATTTATTTTCATTGAGTGGTATGAAAATAAATAGTTCATGAGTGGCGGTAGCCACGAGTGAAATATGGTAATTTTCATGCCACAAGATGAAAATAAATCATGTATTTATAGAAAAAACTTGAATTTTCTGTTTATTATATACATTTTTCTCTTTTTTGATATTAAAATTTGAAAGATTTTCCTGTACTGGCAGAATTTAAAAGAAAGTAGTCCGGCAAGACACCAGTGAAAATACGGAAAATATGTTTCACTGCAGTGAAAAATAAATGTTTACAGTGAAAATACGGAAAATGAAAATACGCATTTTATTTCATCAATATTTCATTTATAAGTATATAATAAATTCCGATCTTACACTGAACTAAACAAATATCCTCCATATAATATAAAATAAATATTGGCCATTTATAATTCAGTAATGAACTTACACGAATTTATAATATTATATCACATACCCAAAATAAAGACCGTTTAAAGTGAAATAAGAGACATTTTTCATTGCAGCACCTATACTATAACGCTAACATTTAGTGCTCTATAACGCTAATGACGTCACGTCAAAATATATGCACGACCGTACGTATTTAGTACGTCGCAAAATCGGCACGGGTGTGTGATAAATAATTAAAATATATTTCTGCTTTAACCATCTAAAATCTAAAATAAAATATATGATTTTACTGCAATTCTGACAGTTATTTTCATTGCAGAGATGTAGATAATATTTAACATGTTTTAAAGTAATTAAAGCCGTGTTAGGCTTATATATCTTTACGGTATATGGAACGAGGAACAGTTATAATCTTATACTCAAAAGGGAAGTAAATCAAAGAATTCGACAGCCTCGGTCTGGTCGATTGCGCGAACCGTCGAAATGGACAAAACAGGGAACACAACTGAGTCTGTGCTCGCTCAGTTTTGTTCTGTTACAGGTAAAACATCATTAATCCTGTATTTTATGAACCTAGGTTAGAAATTTGGTTGCGTTTTGCAAAAAGTTCGTTTAATCTCATTCATAAACAAACGTTTTGAAATGATTTTCGGATGATATTTTCATTTTCGGATATCTTTTTTGTTTGTTTAGATTTTTCTCTAGATTTCACTCCATCATAAAGTAAACAAGTTCAAATACTTTCATGACAATTGCAACGCATTAATAAACAATTAAATGCATGATGTTTGATGAATAAAAAAGCTTTAATCCAAGTGTACCCTGTTGGTCTGTGAAAAAAATTAAGTCAACTTAAGGGGGCAATACACAGTTTTCAAGGCTTCTCGGCAAACAAATGACTGCGCCACAATCAAAACCTCACACACAAGTCTGTAATCACACACCTGAAATAAATGCATTTCATATTTAACATATACATATGTATCTCACAGCAAACAATTAAAAATACATGTCCACCTTCTAGTTTTCTGGCACATAGCCCTGTGTTTTTCATTGTTTTGGTCGCGAAAATCAACGACAAAAATAGCGGATTACCCCTATTCGCAAAATACAACAATATATTAACGTCAAAAGATTAAATCACAAGCTATAGTGATTCTTCCTTCTTAAACAATGCACAATCTGAAAATAACATCCAAACGGGGAGTCATGCACCTACTTTTTTCACTATTTTAAGTCTTCTGCATACCCTTTAAATTGAAGAGCTGATTCACCGCCTAGCTCCAAAAACCACATGTTCGCATCCGACAGGTGCTCTCTCAAAAAAGCAAGGGTTAACACCACTAAATTCAATTTTACTAAATAACTGAAACACAATACTAGTCATTGAAACTTGAAATATAGTAACTATAAACATTTAGAACCTCAAATATCCACTTCAATTTCAAAACTGTCTCTTATTTGTAAATTCCACCCTGGCCAATTCGAAACTAAACAGCCGAAACTGTGTACTGCCTCCTAATAATCATAATGTAATCCAGATAATGGCTTTAGATTTTTTTAAACCTAAAATACAATATTCCAGCAGCATATGCTGAAATTCTGATTAATCTATTTTTTTATCTTGAAAATGATTATAGCTAGAAAAAAGAGGTCAGACGTCAGAATTTTCAATGTCGTTTTTGTAATAGACATAAAAATTTAACGTTTAACAGGGCTCATCCTGGGGGGAAATTTTAGGGAGAAGTGACGACCTCGCGAAAATTAGGGAGAAGGGAAACAACCCAATGTGTATGCATTAACATGCATGGCTATACATCCTTTTATTATAATATAAACACAATTAACATCACTTATAATATTTCTCCAGTTTATTTATTAATAGTAGATTAATTCATGGTAGTAACTAGTATAAATTAAAAGTAGATTAATTATTTAGTAGTAGATCTGGCAATGGCATCTAAATGTTTTTGAGCTGCAAATATGAACATAAAAAATTATTTTTGATATCTATTGATCAGCTATTTATAAGCTTTCTCTAAATATGTGTTTATGTATTTTCATGTACATTTGTTGATAATAATGTGTAAAAAAAGATATGATGATAAAATCAATTTCATATTTTTTACTTTTAATACTTTCCTCACCTTTAAAGGAAGATGAAGTCACATTGGATATTGACTAATAATATCTGTTCTATTCTGTTGTGGTAACAGAAATTTCTTACAATGTACAGACTGTTGTAATGTCACGATTATATGCATATAATTATGCTTATAAAACAATTTTCAAACATCAAAGAATATGTAAAATATGTACTGCAAACATTTGTGCACATTATATTTGATCACTAAAATTACATACATTCATTTCTTATTGAAAAATTTGACTGAGAAATTGTAGAAAATTAATTTCTAATTACCTCCCTTTATTTTCATGAAACAATTCGGTAATATCTTTATAAATAATGCTTTTTAAAATTTACAATATTGATAAATCTTAATCTGAGCATCATATTTACGACATTAAAACAAATATATATATATTGAAACAATAGGAACACTTCTTTCCTGACAAATTTTGTTGTCATGATATACGACCGATATGTAGTTTAGCCGGGATATCTTACCCACGTGCGTAAACTGTGTCAAATTTGGCATTTCTACAAAGAGAACAATGTCAAACACCCCCACTGTCTACAACATACCATTCGCAAGATTTTTGCGAATTGGCTTTTTAAATTTTTGCGTAGGTGTAACTATCAGAATCAGTAACTTTCTTACTGCTCGGTTTCGGCATTTCGCCTTGTAGCCATGACATGAGCGACAATTTACAGTAAAAATTGATGTTAACAGACTGAAATCATTCAAAACTATGATTAAGTTTTTAATCCGGTCGCTGATCATTAATAAAATTGATTATTTTTAATTGACTAACAGTTTTGTGATAGCCGTGAAAAATCCATTGCACATCGCCTTTACTCGGGTTAAAAACCCACCATCGAAGTGCATTGTGTATATCAATTAGGGAAGATTGCACGTGTTTAGATAATCGGGGAAAAAACAATGTATAATTATCGCCAAATCCCGTATTAAACTCGCAAAACTATATACCGTTTCGGGCCGATGTTCTCATTATTTACTGTTTAGAGTAGGCGGTCTATCGCTTCGCTTACAGGTAGAAGGGTAGTATAAAGCGACGCTCTGATTGGATAATGACAATTAGCGGTCGTCATATGGGCGGATACAATCTCTGCTCTTTACATCGCTAAGTTATTACTATTTGGGAATTAAGATTTTATCGGCGATGTTGACTTCTCTTTGATCAATCGGAAGAGCGAAATTGGAATATACACGGCGAAGTTTTCGCCTGAATCGCCCTTCCGGATGAGCCCTGTTTAAGAAAGATAAATCAATTTAATTAATTAACTTTAGATTAAACTCACATTAATTGTTAAAATTAGACCGGATGATTTATCAACAACCACTGGACAAAGAAAATAATTAAAGAAAGTGTTTTTTTGAGGTGGTGAGGGTTTGATTGTTGCCCGGTTTTGGTGGTCTCCAACCAGTTATTATATTTGTGATTACACACTTTAAGCTGTCAATCAGATATAATTAGAGCTTAATGTTGTTAGCGTTCCAGTTTATATACTACAACATGAAGTGAATGCTGAAGACGGACCCGTAGGGAAAGTTCACCCAATAATTGTGCCAGGAATTTGACAGGCTTGCATTCATTCATCGAGCACGCCATGTAGTAGTGCCCCACCGCGATTATCTTTGACTAAAATAGCTTGTGTTTGCTTCAGATTGAGATAATCTGCCAACCCATTATTAGTAATGAATATTCACGAATTCAAAAACCCAGCTAAATGACTTTTTCCTGTACATTCTGTACATAGCTCTTGGAAATTCATCTAATGGAGTGTGATAATGAACTCTTTTTGAATTAAAGTGAAATAAAACAGTTATTTCTTTGTAAGAAAATAATTAAATATCATAGTATGAATAACTCCATACAAAAAATAAAATAAATACACAAGTTTACGCAAAAAATATCTCTATTTTTTATGGAAGATCCCACTACGACTGTTTTGATTTTATTGATTTTCATTATAAACAATTTATTTTATCAAAAGTTTGCAATAGATATTAAAGGAATATTGATAATTTTTAAACAGTGAAACACATGAAAGTTTTTCACCTTAAACAGTAAAAAATGATAGAAAAATAGAAATATCATGTAACTGTGACTTCATTTGGTGTAATTCCACAGAGCTAAATCCGTAGCGTACCAGAAAACGGTGTTTAGCTAGGTTTTCAAAAAAGGTCAGTTGAGTCTTTTATTGAGACGAAGAATGTAACTGCTGTGTGGTAATCCATTATTATTAATCAAAAGGATTAAGCAGTCATTTAAAGAGATTTACAACTTGTAAAAGATCCACTAATTGGTTTTGTAAAAATGAAGCTGAAGAAAAAAAAAATCTTTTTATTTCTCTCAGAAATTTGTTAAAGAACTTAAACAGCTATTCACCAACCTTATCATTGATATATGTGTCAAATAAATACCTGTAAACTTTGTCGTCAACCACAGAAAATTGTTCTGTTAATTATAAATTAAATTTTTGTATGCCCCAAAGGGCAGCCTTTTTTGAAGTACCTGAAAGTTAATCTATATATCATTGTGAGAAGTGTAATGATAAGATGGAGCTTAAAGTTGAGCATCACAATATACACTTGTATGATGTGTGTTACAGGAGCAGATGCTGCCATGGGTAGGCAGTTGTTAGAAGCATGTGGAGGAAATTTAGAGCTGGCTATCAATATGCACATGGAAGGTGGTGGTAGTGGTGCTGGTGCATCTAATGCAGTGTAAGACCTCGTGTTTCATTTTCATTATTGGGTTAATTTCAGAAATGTAAAAAACAACATGTTCAAGTTATAACATTATTATCATAGTTTTATTATTGTTATTTGTATCTGAAAATTTCAAAATGTTCATGGTTGTATATGGGTCTTGTTAAGTACAGAACCTGTCTAAAATTGGTTAGGCAATAGTGTAGAGCTTTGCTAGGCTGTGCAGATATGCAAGGCTGTATCAGTGTGCAGACAGGGAACCGTATGGTTCTGTATTAGTGGTAACCTCTAAATAACTTTGAGCTTAGCTTGCAAGTGTGAATCTCAAAATGAACGTTTTAATGTAAATATTTTAACCATGTTTTTATCCATCTTACAGTGATGAAGTAAGGGCTCCCATTCCCCAAATTCAGGAAACATTGGTGGATGATGCTCCAGTATATGGTAAAGTACTGCAATATTAATCAGACTATATATTATAACCTGCTAAATTTTTTGGAATTAAGTATTGAGATCTCTAAGTGAAATGTACTTCAAAAAAAGCCATGAAACTATTTTTAAGCACTATGAAGATTCCAAGGTCTTTATGTTCTTTGTTGTGTTTTTAATTACACCAACATTTATGAAGGTCAAGAGTGATATTAAGTTTTACTGGAGTGATGGAGGGAAACCTTTTATTGTTTTTTTTTTTCAAGGAAATGCAGAAGAAATTAATAGCACCACAAATCCCCTGTTTGCTACATGGAGAATTTCTTCACACAAAATAATCTGTTTAGTCTTTGATAGGATTCGAACCCACATCAACAAGGAACAAGTGATTGGATGTCCTCTACTGTAATTAATCTCTTGTCCAGGAAGGACCTCCTGCCAAAACATAAAAAGTTCTACATGTATAGACATTGTATATTAATCAGTAATAAAATGAATTTAATTTACACACTTTCTCTGACAAATTTGATTGCTTCATTAGTAGTAGATCATCTTCAACTGTTAAAATGAGCTATTATTTGTCACCGTAAAGGGGTAAGAAGTTAACTCCTTAAGAAATTCAAAAGGAGTTAACCTGTTATTGCACTAAAATGACGATATGTTACTTTGTACTGTTTTACAGGAACATTTCGAGGACGGAAAAGAAAAACAAGATCTGTGTTTGATGGATTCAGGGATTTTCAGGAAGAAGCTCGTAAGTTTTTTGTATTTGTTTTAAGCTTTACTATTAATAGAACAGAGAGAGTAGACGTTAGCGTCACACTTTAGTTTTTGCCTGCAAGTTGGTATCTACATAACAACTGATGGAAATAGGTTGAAACCGCTCACACTTATTTGAGAACATAGTAGGAGGTCACTGACCAAGGCCTATAACTCTGACATGGATTTTGATGGAATTAAGGCCCTTTTTTAACTTTAAAAATTTCACATTATCCAGGCTCTTGTTTGTGGAAATAGTCCAGCAGCTGTCCTACTGACAGCTCTTCTTTTTTTAGCTCACCTGTCACAAAGTGACAGGGTGAGCTTTTGTGATCGCTTTTCGTCCGGCGTCCGTCCGTCCGTAAACTTTTACTTTAAATGACATCTCCTCATAAACCACTTGGCCAATTTCATCCAAACTTCACAGGAATGTTCCTTTGGTGGTCACCTTTAAAAATTGTTCAAAGAATTTAATTCCATGCAGAACTCTGGTTGCCATGGCAACGGAAAGAAAAAACTTTAAATATCTTCTTTTAAAAAACCCAAAGAGCTAGAGCTTAGATATTTGGCATGAAACATCTTCTAGTGAGTGTCTACCAAGTTTGTTCAAATAAAAGCCCTGGGGTCAAAATTGGCCCCGCCCCAGGGGGTCATTGATTTTCCCTATATGTATATAGTAAAAACTTAAAAAATCTTCTTTAAAAGAACTCAAAGAGCTAGAGCTAAGATATTTAGCATGAAACATGTTCTATTGGGTGTCTACCAAGTTTGTTCAAATAAAAGCCCTGGGGTCAAAATTGGCCCCGCCCCAGGGGGTCATTGATTTTCCCTATATGCATATAGTAAACTTAAAAAAATTTCTTTTAAAAAACCCAAAGAGCTAGAGCTAAGATATTTAGCATGAAACATGTTCTAATGGGTGTCTACCAAGTTTGTTCAAATAAAAGCCCTAGGGTCAAAATTGGCCCCGCCCCAGGGGGTCATTGATTTTCCCTATATGCATATAGTAAAAACTTAAAAATTCTTATGTTAAAGAACCCAAAGAGCTAGAGCTAAGATTTTTAGCATGAAACATCTTCTAATGAGTGTCTTCCAAGTTTGTTCAAATAAAAGCCCTAGGGTCAAAATTGGCCCGCCCCAGGGGGTCATTGATTTTCACTATATGCATATAGTAAAAACTTTAAAAATCTTCTTTTTAAGAACTCAAAGAGCTAGAGCTAAGATATTTAGCATGAAACATGTTCTAATGGGTGTCTACCAAGTTTGTTCAAATAAAAGCCCTGGGGTCAAAATTGGCCCCGCCCTAGGGGGTCATTGATTTTCCTTATATGTGTATAGCAAAAACTTAAAATATCTTCTTTGAAAAAACCCAAATAGCTAGAGTTTAGATATTAAGCATGAAACAGCTTCTAGAAAGTGTCTACAAAGTTTGTTCAGTTAAAAGCCCTGGGGTCAAAATTGGCCCTGCCCCGGGGGTCATTGATTTTCCTTATACAATGTATGTTTATAGCAAAAACTTAAAAATCTTCCTTGAAAAAACCCAAATAGCTAGAGTTTAGATATTAAGCATGAAACATCTTCTAGCAAGTGTCTACAAAGTTTGTTCAAATTAAAGCCCTGGGGTCAAAACTGGCCCCGCCCCTGGGTGTCATTGTTTTTAAACTATATGTGTATAGTTAACTTAAAAAAATCTT